GTGGAGACTGCGAGCAAGTTCTTCTCGTCTGATATAAGTGCCTGGCCCTAATGTTGGAAACCAGGGGTGTTAAAATGGTGGCCCTCCTGCTATTGTAAAACTACAAGTCCCATCATGCCTCTGCCTTAGTGAGTTATGCATGTAACTGTCAATCTTGCAATGCCTCGTGGGACTTGTAGTTTGGCAACAGCTGGAGGGCCCACAGTTTGACACCCCTGTTGTAAAGCATTGCGTAAAATGTCGGCGCTATATAAATCCTGTATAGTAACAATAATAAGGGTGCTGTTGGTAAACTGGATGCTTAGCTCATGAGGCATGGCGAAGCCCAGGAAGCCACACCCCTTGTCCCTGATGCAGCAGATCTGCATCTCTGAATATATGCGCTGTGTTATGAATATCTTACCACACATATGTGTATACTTAAGAAATCTCTTAGATGATGACTGAATAAGGCAAATCTGAGATTCACAAATTTTTGGTTAGCTTGAATATTTGCATAGATTTTTAAAGTGGAATTAAAGGGTTGATAGTCACACAGCCCACGCAGGCATCTTTTCATCTGTGTCAGTTTTTGGCCTCTTCATAGGCCAGCAAAGCATGGCGTCACTCCTGCACATGCACAGGAGGTAGCCATTCTGGCAAACACGGCACTGTAAGATAACCTGCGCATGCGCAGCTCAGTTTACAGTCCAGGGGTCGCTGTGAGCAGGCAAGTAGGTGTAGTTTATTTAAAAGGAGAATGTGCATGTCTCCTTTGCAATAAAAATCCTGTCTGCTCAGAGCATGCAACGGCAAAACTTTAGTTCTGCTTTAAGCAGATAATCGCAGAGTCTAAGAATCTTGGAACTTGTGATTTATAAATTGTATGGTTCTGCAAAGACTTTTAAAAAATACATGCATTTATTGGGTGAATCCAAAAATTCAGTTTATAAATTCATGTGATATGGAATCAATTCATTAATTTGAATGCTCAATCCAGGGGGTAATTTATTAAAACTGGAGCAAACAAAATGATCAAACATTTGAGCTGTTGCCAAAAGCAATCAACCAGATTTCACCTGGTCCAAATTGGTAATCATTTCTGTTCTTCTGCTTTCATAATTCAGTCATAAAATGGCACAAATTGTAATCTGCAGAACAACTAAATCCAACAGAGCTCAGAGCGCAATAATTCTTACTGATGAATCAAAGAAGATGAAGTAACATTACTCTAAAAGTTTCACCTTTTTTTATTCCCCTCAAAGGTACTTCAGGAATTCAGATTACAAAAAGAAATATCAAGTGCAAAAAATATAGATTAATAATGTAATAGTAAAGCTTGCATCCTGTCCGGGATTTATAGCCTTAGTTTCTCAAACAGCTTAGTTATATTCCTGTACATTGTGTTAAAGGCTACATTCATTTTTTTTTAAATTCCAGCTTCTCTATGTACCAATATACCATTAATGTACCTAATTTGCAGAAAATAAAACGCTTTCTATTTGTCCTAGACCAGGCATTACCTAAACATCCAGTCTGTTGTATAAAAAACTTTTCCATTACTTCCTGGATGGCCCTTAATTATTGAAAACCATTAAGACACCAGAAGGCGTTTGCCAGCTGACCTCATGAGCACACATTCTGCACCTGCCCTCCCCTGACAGGAGATTGTTCCCACCCACCTCTGCAGGTTCATACTCTTCCCATGCAATCAACAATCACCATTGTCACTAAATACACAGCCATCAATTGTTTTCTACCTTGCCTTCATCTTGCATATGTCATTCATTTAGCGGAGTGTGCAGGAGCTGAGCAATCACATAACAGCCTATGTAGAGCAGAGCTGTAGTATTGGAAACAGGAGAAGTGTGTACCTGGAAGTCTGTAAAGCTCACCATACACTATATAACCTGATTGTACAATCTCCATTTAGATCTATCATCAACTATGTAGTGCAGTGATTGGATAGATAGTGTGTCCTCCTATTATATAGTTTTGGTAAAAGGAGATTGCGCAGAGATTGTACAATCAGATTGTATAGTCCAAGCCCACATTTATACATCTAAAATTAATTAGTCTCACTTTTGGCCATTAATTGTTAACAGCACCTTAAATGCAGAAGCAAACACACATTTTACCACGTGAAGAAACAAGCATCAAACATAGCAAAACGTGCAGTAAAAAATGTGCAAACCACAACATGCCAAATTATCTCAGGAGCTACTCTGTCATGTGTAGGGCAGCCCATTGAAATCAATGGGCTGCCCTGTGAGTGTCGCAGGAAAAAAGTGGCAAAAAAACGTGCGCTCCCATTACACTAGATGTGATTGGGGCCTGAAAGCAAAATTGGTTTGTTTACACAAGAACAATGAGGTTCCATTCACATCTGTGTGTTTCCAAACACACAACATACCGCATAGAAAGTGCTCGCTTTGCCGTGTGTTTTGTAAATGCACATCGCACTTTCATCGCCATTAAATGTTAATGGCACCCAAAGTGCAAGTAGCAGACGCGTGTCTGCTGTTCGACAAATGCGCTGCAAATGCACCAAAATGTGCAGTAAAAAAACAATAAAGTTCCAGAGTTTTTTTGGGGCAATACTCATGCGTTGGGCAGTCCATTCAAGCAAAAACAGGCCAAAAACAAAACACGTGTGGGAACGTGAAAATGTGAATGGGGCCTGACAGCTGAGTGTCTTTGTCTACTCCGCCCTCCTATGTACTTATATAATGTTGGCCATACACATGCCACCAGATTGTCAAATCCCTGTACAATTTCCTTTAGATTTACTAAAACTATAAAATAGGAGGTCCCATCTGAACAATCTATTCAATCACTTGAACAGTCTAATCAAGGCAGGCTCTTACACTACCATAGCTGATGGTAGATCCAAAGGAGATTATACAATCACAATGTACAGAAAGTGTGTAGAAATAAAACAAGAGGTGGTATTGTAATGAGAGAGATGTGGTCCAGAGTGGTGAACATGTCCTATTCTGTGATGCAGTAAGTCAGTACATGATGAGATTCAAAGCTTCCCGGATGTCACACGATCTACAGGAAATAATGGAAGCGAAAAACATTTTCTAAAATCTGAAACAGACAGATGAAAATTCAAAGCTGATATAAGAGGTAAGCAAGAGATAAGCACACTGGGATGGCTTGGGCAGAAATGACATTACATAAAGCTTCTATTTATTATGAAAAGGAAAAATTCTGCCTGAAAAGGCAATCTTAGCCTTTAAACACAAACAGGCAGAGTGATGGCTAAAGTGATTCTATTCAAAAATTTCCATAATATTATACATCGCAATATTTCAAAGTGACTGGAAAATATTCCCAGGGAACTGTCTGCCTTGGTCTTACAGCACACAGTATGGATTATATATGTAGCTTCCCTCACTCTTGGCCTGACTCAACCTCTTGCCTTTAGTATTGCTCTTGACCCTGGCCAATGACTAAATGTCCTCAATGTCTTCTCACATAAAATTTACTGTGACTGCCTCACCATCTTTCTGTCAGTTTATTTCTCCATGTGCTGTGCTTCAAATTTATTACAGTGTCTAATGTGAGGATGACTTTTCATTCTTTATTCTAGTCTAAAAACTGTATCCATATGTGACAAGTGTTCTAGTCAACAAAATGAATGCTGTTAAATACAGGCAATCTAAACTAATATTGCCAACATTGTATACATGCAATGCAGAATGGAGGTTTATTGGGAAAAGAAGAATGGCCACTGAAACAAAACAAGATTTCATTTTTTACCAGATCGTACCATGCACTGTACACAACAAAGCTGCAGTCACATGTACATCATGAGCCATACCTCACAGCCAATATATTGTGTTTTATGTGTGTGTACAGTAACTTATTGCCTTGGAATTCCTCCCGATCTGCTTCTGAGTTCTGATTTGCTTGTAGCTTTTAGTTGGTTTGTATTTGGGGAAGATAAGTAAAAAAAAAAAGTGTTCACATTTACTTACTTTTCCCAAAAACATCCCTATGCATTACAAAGTCCTTAATATATTAGCATACCGCACTTCATTTTGCAAAAAAAAAATCCAAATTTTCCAGCTGCTCATATAATTACCCCTCCTGTCATCCCCCCTACAGGTGGCAGTGTGTACTTGTCACTGGATGCGCAGCCCCATAAACTCCCAAACAAGAACTCCCAGCTTCGAACCCTACTCATGTATGCACAATCTAAAGCCAAAATGGTCTCTTATCCAGACAGCCCTTGATTTATTTTCACTTTATTTATTGTACGCAACTATCCCAGATGTCCTCATTGGATCAATCCTAGATCCTACATAACTGAATTAAATAGAGAAGTGATATATCTACTAAATAGAAAGGAAGAGACTTCCGTTGCATTGAAAAGAGGAGAAGTGGCATAGCATGACAATGGAAAGGCACATTCCAGTCAGGCTAGTGGAACTAATGTCAGATATTTAGGCACACTAGGAGCACTGGGAAGAAGTGAATCTGCTAAGGAGACTAGTGATGTTATGGGAACAGACAGAAGTGCTGCCATCAGGCTGTTTGAAGGAAATACTAGAGTCTGAAAATGAAGCAGCCAGGAATGGTTAACCACTTCCTACTTCTATAAGTCTTTACTGTATTTTTCACAAGTAGAATAAGCTGATGAAACAGATAAATGGAAATTCTGTTAGTCAGCCTGGAAAATAGGCAGAATAGTCTAGGAAATAGTATGGACTAACCTCATAACTATGGATAACATAACCATTTAAATATTTTCCAGTGGAAGTGTCTATAACATACATTCTTGAAATAATATTACCTGCTATTTGCATGTTATCAGCTAAAACTTGATGGTTTAGGTGACATTTCGAAAATATATTTGACAGATGTAATTTTTATAGAATGTGTGATGTTAATCAAAATCAGTATTGTGGAGAAAAGCAAAAACCACTTGTAATCAGCGGATTTGGTATATTCCTTTTAAATCTCAAGTTTTAAAGCAGCACGCTGCATAAATTTGGGTACATTTTACACAGTTCTGTACCAGAACAGTGAAGATAGTCATTCAGGATGTTCCAAAAGTAAATGTAGCATCATAATGGCAACTGAATGTAGACATGCAAAAGAAAAGTAATTATAACCATTTTGACTTTTCTACTGAGTTCATGTCCATGAAGTTACCAGTATGGGCGGACTGACAACTCATGGGGCCCCCGGGCAATAGGGGATCATGGGGCCCCTGTGTCCTTGCCCAAACTCAAAAAAAAGCCAAAAAAGGTACCAGGGGCATCTCATGGGGCCCCCTACAGACCCCGGGCCCTCGGGCAGTGCCCGAGTTTCCAAATGGTCAGTCCGTCCCTGGTTACCAGCATAGGTATTTATTTCTATAGCATCACTTTATTACATCATTATGCTGACCTGAAGATGCTATTGCTGAGCGCACAGTTTGATGTTCATAGAAGATATAGGTAACAAGGATGCATAAAGTAAAAGCCAACATGCTGGATATGAAATTACTAATGAACATTCTAATGAGCTGTCTATAGCTTGGCCATTAGTGGCACATGTTACCTCTCCAAGTTCCTCATAGGTATCTGACCTCTGTGTGTACAGGTTACTGCCCTGGTTCTGTTTGATAAATGCCTGGTTCTCTTGCATTGAAAATGCTAGAAACATGCAAACACACCAACACATGTACATACAGTATAATAAAATATCCAAATTGGAGGATAAACCCTGTCGAACTGTAAAAATAAGAAAATATCTTTATATAAAAATAACTTTATGTACATAACCTATCCACAAAAAAAAGAAAATGAGATCTATTCCCCATTGCATGTCTGTTCCTAAAATTCAAGGAACACCGAGGCTAGAAAACATAAGATTCGATTTCCTAAGAACATTTTCTTACGCCATTTTTAACATCTCTGTAGAGGACAATGTGGACTGCAGTACCATTCATTTTCAATGGCACACTGACATGAAAAAATGATATATGTATCTGGCCTGCAAGTATATTATAATAAACATGTTATCTTGCTATGAGCTGAGAAAAAATATGAGACAGGCCCTTTTTTTTGCATGTGGATGTATGTTGGGGGTCAACTGAAAAAAAAAGTCCTTTTAAGTGCAACATGCATTGGCATACCAATAAAATCTTGATTTAATGTGCCAAAAAAAGCCACACTCCTATAGTTTATGAAATGTAATAATTACAGAAATCGGAACTACTCATTGAACTCACATAAAATCCCTTTAAAAAAACATCTGTTAAGTATTCTAAGTGGCACAGAAGGCAGAGGTGTCTGGAAGACAAGCTGGGATCTTGCTTCTGCTATCATTACAGTGGTGCCTTCTCAGATAAGGCCTGGTGACTTGAGTCAGCCCCTGGCTTGTTATATGTATCAAATGTTCCTGCTGCAAGATCTCTCTGCAACAGCAGATTGCTCTGTTCCTGTCCACCTGGGAGGATCCTCTAGCTAATTATTTTATGTGAGGTGAAATACACTAAGTGCGCTCATGTAAAAATCCAAAAGCACGAATCTGAAATGTTTTCTTTTTCTTCCTCTTGATTTTTCTTTCAGAATATACCTTCAATTATGCTGAAATGAATTGCGGACTAATGGACCAATGCAGCCTTAAGAGACATAGAGAGAATGTATGCATCAATCACTGACACCCATTATTAAAGCCCCCTTGATCATCTAATTAGTAAGAAAGTGTGCAACTGAATAATGTCCTGCTGACTGTGGAGCTGCAGGAAGCATCTATCAGAAGCTGAATTTACGAATGAACTATTATTTGTTCTACAGTTTATGTGACGATAATTATGACAACATTTTGACACATGGGTGCCCTCAAAGGGTCTAAGTCCTCATTCATACAGATGGAAAGAACATCCTTTTGCTTTGTGTTAATAAAGCTTTCTAAAGGACCTGAAAAGCAAATTCCTGTTCTTTAGGCTCCTTACACACTGGGTGTTTAGCCTGTTTGTGTCCAATCCTGGAGTTTTAGTGCACAGAGGAGGCACAGGTACAGTGCCCATCCCGGCTGCCTGGAGCGTATCAAAGTCAATGGCAGACTGAAATATGCTGCGGCTAGATGGGGTTGAATGCTGTCCTGAGTTTTAGTCGCTTAGTGGCAAATGCGTTTAGGGACGTACACGCGGAACACGGGTATTTTGCTGTGAATGCATAGGGCGGTAAAAACACTGGGTACAGCATTTAGCTGTACTTGTACCAAACTACTCATAACAAGCTTCACTTTCACACTTTACCTTCCCCGGGAGATGGATAAGGATCGCTGTCATTGCATGATAGAAAAAAAAAACACTTCAATCCATAGCATGCTATTAGTTGAGAAACTCATATTTTATTCAAATATTGTGAATTTCTGAAATCCTTTGACAGAAAAGTCAATGCAGTGTTTATCTAACCCATTGGCTTCTTATAAGGTCTCAGTAAGGCCCCTTTAACATGGGTCAGATTCCATTTAACTCACAGATTCCCCGCTGATCAGGTGGATGACACATCCATGACCGCTAATTTTCTGCGGAGCAGACAAGGACATAGACCATTCTGCTCTATGGGCGGCCAGGAGTAAACAGACTCCGCTGTCCATTTACACTGATCCACCTAAACAGAAGAGAATGGATCCCCTTCCATTTTTTTAGTGGGCCCAACTGGACCCAGAGGTAGGTGTAAAAGGACCCAAACGCCTGTCCATCAGGTCTGCATGAAAACTGACAAGTGTACCCAATCACAACGGCCTAACACATAACTCCTTTTTGACATGCTTTTATCTTCAAAGGCAGACTGGTATCTGACATACTTATGTATCATTTCCTCATAAAATAAACACATACTTTCCCAAAATGGAACCTGTGCAGCCAAGATGAATCCCAAAGTTCAGACGGCATTGAATGAATCATAGCAGAAAGGTGAAGCTAGGGCTTTAAATGCAAATATGTATAGCAGAACAATTAATTTGTAGCTACCAAAATCTGGAATATCAGTTTTGGTAATCCTGAAAATTAAACTCTACGATTACCAACAATACTGAAAACCCCAAAGATATATATATATATATATATATATATATATATATATATATATATATATATATTCTAACATTATGTATACCATCACCTTACTACTTCTCTCAGCTGATAGAGATAGCATTTTACATGCAAAAAGGAAATGTTGGACTCATAACAGTCACTTACAGAGACTCAATGTGGCTGTTTGCAAATGTATCACTCAAATGCATTCAAATGATGATGACCTAGCGCTACATTCACACGAATTGAAAACTGCCTGCTCTATAGTTGCTAGTATGCTATTAGAATTTTACTCTGCTGGCACTTTAGAACTACTGGATATATAATATATATTATAGATAACATAATAACAGCTTACCCCATAGTAAATACCAAGAAATTATTTGTTTTCCAAACAAAATATTACAAACTTAATGTACAGAACCGTACAAAATAAATCTAGGCATTGATTCGAAATCTATACAATTTGCCCATGTAATTCATGTAAAAAATACCAATATCCATCACCTATTTCTTTTGATTTCCTCACTGCCACACTATCAGTATGTGAAGATGTCAGACACAGATTAAATGGCTGGGTGTGGCCATAGTACATGGTATTTGTTTACCTAGCCAATTTGAAGGATGGACTGGCATTGGCCATTTCACAGGTAATAATGATCATGTGTGACTAGTCGGATTGATTAGCACCTTTATTGTCCAGTGATGCCTGAGCGTACACTCCCTTTCTCTGACCAGACATCAACAACAGTTCTCCTGGGTGCAGCATCAGACCTGTCACAATATAAAAGCACGTTGGTCTCTCTGACATTTAAATATTTGCGTCTGATAAACAGCACTGTACATAATCAATCCAAACAAAAAAGATGATAAAAATAGCAAACTAGACCTCAGTTCTCAGCAAGGAGTTCACAGCTCCCAGTTAACCTGTGCTGTACACAGACTCCTGCCAAGCCACTAACAGTACTACTCAGCTCCTCTGATTTCACCAAAGCTCCATCTCTGCGTCCTCAATCCTCGCTCTTCTCAGCGAACAGCCCCGCTTTACTGGTCACTGTGAGCAGCGGAGAGAGCAGCTTCTTCCCCCCAACACAGACACGCCTAATAGAGCAGCCTTCATCCCCTGGAAGCATGCCTCCGACTCTCGCAGAACCACATCTTACCTTTTTGGGTCTTTTCCTCCTCGTGTTGGTCCCATTATGTCGTTCCCCTCCATCTGTTTTCTGAGTACTTTCTTCGTTCATCATTTTAAGAGTTTCCCCAGTATAGAGCTATGCCATGAAAGCCTCTTCACAGCACGGACCACAGTGTCGCTGACTAGAATGGAGACTGGGGAGGGGGGAATAGGAGGAGAAGCAGTGTGACGTTGCCATGGCAGCGGCTGCCACAAATGTTTATCTGCTTGCATTGTTAAATCTGATTCAACCAATTACCATCAGGATCTGCTCCTTTCACAAAGGAGGAAAGCTCAGAGCTGCCAATGCAACGCCAAGGACTGAGCACACTTACAGATGCTTTCATTGTATTCACTGTTGGTGCAAATAGAGACACTAGTGATTTGTCTCTAGTTTTCTTCCATATAAATCCAGATTTTGGTTTGTTGCATTACTTTCCGAGCCAAAGGAATGCCACCTTGAATTTATGGGAAATCATTTTTCCAAGTGGCAGGGCCCTCCTATCCCTCTTGTATTGAACTGTATTGTTGCTGTATTGTCTCCCGTTATACTGTAAAGTGCTGAGCAAACTGTTGGCGCTATATAAATCCTGTATAATAATAATAATAATAATTATTATTATCTATCTAATAACAACAAAAGTGCAGCGCAGTTAAGATGACTGCACTTTTGTTGTTATTACTCTGTTTAAGTATATATTGGTTACTTAGAGTGCTTAGCTGCTTTTTTGGATTAGCACTCACTCTTTTATTATATACATAGTATTATCTATCTATCTATCTATCTATCTATCTATCTATCTATCTATCTTTTAGATTGTAAGCTCCCAGGATCAGACCCTCCTATCCCTCTTGTATTGAACTGTATTGTTGCTGTATTGTCTCCCGTTATATTGTAAAGTGCTGAGCAAACTGTTGGCGCTATAGAAATCCTCTATAATAATAATAATTTATTATTATTATACAGTATTTATATAGCGCCAAAGGGTATGCTCAGCACTGTACAGTAGTAAGGGGGACAGTATATGAGACAAGACAGTAACAATACACTACATGAGGGGTTCGAGGGCCCTGCTCTTTCGAGGTTACAATCTAAGCTTCCAGGATCAGACCCTCTTGTAAAGTGCTGAG